GTGCTTCCCGAGTCGTCCAAACTCGTCAAAGTCCCAAAATGCTTACCTAAGCAATCCCACGGTTTTCTTCACTAATACGGTTTCGTGCATTCGTTTGTATAGAAACCTACACAGTCAAACAGTTCAGCACCCTGAACTGGACCTGTAGAAACCGTGGAACTGCTTACGCTGGTGTCCATGGGACACCGTGGGACTGCTGAGCAATCTTTGGATGAAGGGAATGAGAAACCTCGTTTCCCGTTCCCATCGTCCACCACTTTGGGCATAATAATTATAATTATTAAATAAATCGACGTATTGATCGATCTCAATACGTCACAGTCTTTACGATAGAATATTAGGAGAGACTTTTATCCTCGATAAAAAAAAGACTGAACATTTTTCTTCTGAAATGTCTCCTTTTCTTTTTATCATGTAAAGACAAGTAATATTTAATTCGCACATTCCATAAATATTGGATTATCTCCATAACAAGTAACTCTGCGAAAAAAGTCAATGACAATGTTGATCGGAAATTCACTCCTCTACAATACGTCTATTGACAGTTCCTAGTAAAACCTCTCGCTTCCGAGACAGAATAACACTTATGACTTCATTATTTACTTCATAAACTCCTTGCTATCATATTTAGATGAATATTGAATTATCTTCACAGCGAGTGGCTTGACGAGAGAATTCAGGAAACAGTTTTCGCAGAAAAGGTTCTCCTTAACAAACGAAAACCACCGTAGACATGTTCTTTCTAAAACGCCTCCTTATCCACATAAGTAGCTAGTTAGGTAAAATTTAGTTATTCGTCCACTCTTTGCTTCACAAAATATGAAAAAAAGTCAACGAAATTCTTTGTCGGAAATTTAATTGTTACAAAAAATTTTAACTGATGATTTTTCTTAAAACCTTACGTTTGCGAGATAAGACGACCATCATCATTTCATTATTAAGTTGCTGTATTTCATGCTCCACAAAAGATCATACAATGACAAAAGCCAAATAAAAATATGAGAAATGGATAATAAAATAAATCTTTACCGATGACTTCGACGGCTTTGAATTTAGCATTGAACCACGCATCATCACCGAATTGTCCCTTGCTTATTCTGCCGCGGCCAAAGTCCTTTGGGAAGCCACAGACAGCTGATACCAGTGATACCTCGCGTTTCTTCAACGCTGGATCTGCAGCTGATGTATAATTTGTTATTCCACTCCATATAGCCCGTGATATCAGTCTCCCAGTCCAATAAATCGATTGCATCTTCACCTTTAATTTTTCACTGTTTAATTACACATTAACTATAACTTTGAGGCCCCCATGACCATCGGGAAATTCTTTTTGACTAGTTTTTTTGAATGTTGTTATTAGTGGAAGAGTCAAACGCTGCAGAAAGTCAAAGAGAAATAACAAATTTTTGAGATCATGTTTGGGGTTAACTCGGGGTGGAAAGTCGAAGTTTCACTTGAGGGTTGGCGTTTAGGGGTGATTGGGGGCTCGAGATGGTGAGGATGGGGTGGATGATTTATTGATGGATATTTTTGGAGCGTTCGTGAGGCTTCACAGTCGTTTTGGGGAACACATCACTTGCAAAGGTCTAAAGAGCACTTAATATATATATAGTCACATGCGGGCGGCCTCCTGACGCACCCGCAACAGAGATTATAGGGGAGGTTGCCAGCCCTTATGGGGAAGCTGCAACCGCAAAATTTCGTAGCGGTGGCGCATGAACTAATTTGCGGCCGTATCTATGAGTAAGGCAGAGATCGGCAAGACGCCGAGGACGTAACTGTGAGTAAAACAGGGAGCGTATGAGAGTGTCGATAACGGCGTAGCGCGGGAGAAAGCGCCTATGTGGGGGGAATCACAGGGCTGGGCACCAAGAGGATAGACCTGTGTAGAGGTCCGAATCGAGGGGGTTTGACTGACTCCAAAAAAGTTAGTTGGTACTCCATGGGAAAGGCGGCGTCCCGTCGAATTGTCAGTAAACGTGAGTCGGGCGCGTGAGTAACTCGGCAGTATATAGCAGTCCCGCTGTCACAGGGCCAGGTTCGGAGGGGGATTTTTGTCCTCCTTGTACTCAATGTTTACTTTATGTTTTTCAGTTGATTTATTCGGCGACTAATTAATATTAAGGGATGAAACAAAGACTGTTCAATGGAGAATTAAATTCCCCATCCATCAGCCCCTGTTTCATCCCTTAATCTCTGCAATAAAAAAAATAATATTGCGACTAAAGTTACGGCGCTATAAGAAACCCAATGTTTTCTCGGCGCAGAGTGACTCCCCAATAATTCGCCTGCTAATTAAAAAATCGTCTCTCCCCTCTTAATTAACATTAAGGAATGAAACCAATGCTGTTCGATGGAGAATTAAATTCCCCACCCTTCAACCCCCGTTTCATTCCTTAATCTCTGTAATAAGAAAATTAATATTGCGACGAAAGTCGCGGCGCTATGAAAAACTCAATGGTTTCACGGCGCAGTGACTACCGACAACTCCCCCACGAATTAAAAAATCGTATCTCTGCTCCTAATTAACATTAAGGAATGAAACGAATGCTGTTCGATGGAGAATTAAATTCTCCATCCTTCAACGCCCGTTTCATTCCTTAATCTCTGTAATAAAAAAATAAAAACTGCGACGAAATTCGCGGCGCTGTGAAAAACTCAATGGTTTCTTGGCGCAGAGTGCTTCCCCATTAATTGGCCCACTAATTAAAAAATCGTCTCTGTTCTCCTAATTAATATTAAGGAATGAAACCAATGCTGTTCGACGGAGAATTAAATTCCCCATCCATCAACCCCTGTGTCATTCCTTAATCTCTGTAATAAGAAAATTAATATTGCGACGAAAGTCGCGGCGCTATGAAAAA